TATACCAAGTTGTTATTTGTGTTATTTGTTAATGTAATTGTTGTGTCCAGTGTTGTTGTTGCTTCATTCTATGCTCCTAATAAAATCATTATATGTTTTCTATCTTGGTAGAGAAGGAAGCATACCGTGTTGCTGTGTTTAATAAAAAATGAGACAAATAAGAGAATCTTTATGCTACCAAGTCATGACATGAAATTATTGTTCCATGACCTCATTGTATCTTCAAAATAACTACAAACTGTGATTTAACTTTATATCATCTATACATATCTAACTTTTTCACTCCTTTTATTTGACACATCCAAAATATTCATGACAATTTAACTTACCTAATTTTAGCAAGCCATATTCTGCATCGACTTTTTTCCTCTGATTTAACTGATTTATTAATGATGTTTGGTTTGTTTATGTATTATTATTTGCAAACCTGCTAACTGAAACCTCCTCAATCCATCTCCAAGATGGTTGGTTGTGATCTCAATCAATCCATCGACAAGACGGTTGTTTTTTTTTTTTGGGTAATTCAGTGAGGAAGACAAGCCCTACCTGTTTTTTTAGATAGATTTGGGAGTTAGCCTTTTTTAAGGTCTAAATGAGTGGTGCGGCAGGATGTGATAACTGGGTATAAGGGTGCTACCACTACAACTCAGCCCCTTTCCTAGAAGATGATTGTTTGGGGTGCTACCTCCAAATTCATCAAATACCTATTCCAATAAGTTTTATAGTGCATTTAAGAAGGACGATATTTCTACAATATCAAAAGTTGTTCCATTATGGATGGCGAAGAGCTAGTTGTTTTGCCCAAATAATTAAAAAACACAACCCATAGCTCAATTTGTATAGGGAATCGGTTAGGATCCACCTACAAGTATCAGAACTGGTCAACCCCCCCTAAAACCGTCGTTGCTTTTTTACAACTTTTTTTTTGTTCTTTTATGATTTCTATGTGTATTCTAGTATTTAAAGCTCCCACAAGCCTTCTTTTATCATGTCTTAATTTTTTATTGATTTATTTTTTAATATATTCTTGAATCAGGGACGAAAATCCAAACTAAGATTGATTGGGGGGTGATCCCGCTCACCAATCTGGTTTCTAAACACTGGTTTAGTCCAATGCAATAGAAAAGAAAATTCCTGCTAATTTTGTAAAAAATGGAAAATGGTTGTGAGATTCTTTTTTCTTATTGTGATTCATTTACTTTTGGTACAAGAAGATCATAAATGTGAAATTAGATAGCTTGAAGCATGTCGCAAAGTTCTTAAAAATTATTCCCAAGCAAAATATTATTGTATGCTTTTTTGACCATATGAAGCGAAACATACTTGCTAAATTAAAACAAAATAAGGTAGATTCATTAAATCTCGGCATATTCTTGCCGATTCTTTTCTATGCCTTCCATCCATAACCAATAACCATGATGATTTCCCAATGGTAGCAATTGTACAATTTTCCCTAGAAGCAGCATGAAATCCTTTCCTAATTTGAAAGTATTTAGAGAAAAATTAATTTAAAATAAATTTATCAAAATGTATATAATAGACGAATTATCCAGAATTTTACTTTTTTATTTTTCAGAAATCCCATGAAAATATATATGATCACGAGTTGTATAGGTTAAAATGGGTTTCTTTTTTAGTCTCTAATAGGAAGTGCCTTTGGAGGCTCATTCACTTACATATTTCTCAATCTCCTTGTATATAAGTTTTTGAATATTTGTCTCCGATATTAGTGTCTATCTCTTTGAATATAGGAGTAAAGTATTAGCTACTAAAAAGTTTTTTTGGTTAAGACATAAGCAATATGATTTATATAAGTATTATAATTATATAAAGAAAATATACAAAAGATACCATTTACTTTTTGGATAGCGAGGTCACAATCATTTTTGTCCATTAGATTTCAAATCGGGTGGTTGTAAGAGAGTTATTGACTAGACTTACAGTTCAGATTTTTTTTTTCTTTCGAACTTCATAACACACCTTAAGCCATCCAATTTGATATTTAATGAGTAGAAATAATTGTGACCTCCTTGTAACAAAGATAAATGAGTAGAAATAATTGTGACCTCCTTGTAACAAAGATAAATGGTATCATGATATAAATCCCATTACATTGTTATGAGAGAGAAATAACATGATACTTTTTTTTAAATTATGAAAAATAATAGAACATTTTTCCATTAGAGTATGCTTAATAAACCCAAAAGAAAATTTTTTATAAAGGGCATCAATCTTATATAAAAGGCATCAATCTTATGCTATAAAAGTAAGCCACAACTCATAAGCCTTTAAAAAAATATCGCTTTGATGCTAAAAAACCCTCCAATTGATTATCTCAACCTCGAAATTTATAGATGTCCAAAAGAAAGAAAAAAGGGAGGAGATTTTCAAGTTTTAAAATATTGCATCTTATAAAATATTGTTTGCACCGTTTATTTTCAAGATTTCCAAGTGGTTATAGATACGTTTGATCCGCACCATTTTTGGAACTTTAAATTTCATAAATAGGAGTAAAAATAGAAGTTTTAAGCCATGGTAGAGGCTTTCAACAATAGAATTATATCTTGCTTTACAATTGATGCCTTGTATATATCACAAGCAATTAAAAACAAATCAAAGGAGCATTGATTTTCTAATTGTTAAGATATTACATTTGGTATGCAATGATCACAAACACCTCAAGTCATCAGAAGCCAGAATTGATGGTTGAGGTGTATTATTCCTCCACACAAAACAAAGAAGAGAATCAGATTTTTTTTTTTTTTGATTTCTTAGATGAGTAAGTGGGGAGAAGTAGTCTACCCTTGGTAAGAATTGAGTCTTGAATGGAGCGTTTCAAATCGTCAAGCACTAACCCATTAAGCCCAGGATCTTTTCCTAAAAAATTAGACTTTCTCGACGTTTATTGATATCCACCTGATTTTGTATATAAGCTTAGCAATGATTTAATTTCTTTCATGATTTATAATGTTTTTTATACCAAAGTAAATTAATTTATTGTACACTCTCCTGAAAAAATAAAGTATTTAATGCATCGAGGGAGACAATTCTACAGCTATGCCCCCGGCCCATCAAATATCCATCTTAAAGATGGATGTGAAAAAATTGTGGCCCACCAAAAACTAAAATGGATGGTGCTCAATATAGATCTAGAAATATTACTTCTCGTTTTAAATTTATATTCTTCTCATTTTCATCATGGTTGAGATTCTCAACCTTAAAAATGTGAAAAGAAAGTATATATTGCCTATCAAGTTAATATAGAAGGTGTATATAGTAATCTATATATTTGGGAAGGTGTATATTGTAATAAATATATATGGGAATAGTAGGTACAATAACTTGTATTTTATGGTGACTCTGGGTATGGTATAGGATTTATTTCTATTATTGTCATCTATAATTTGTCTATAAAGGCAAGTTTGTATATTTGTTTGATTAATAAACACTGAGTCTCTTTAGAGAAACCTGAGACTCTTCACATGGTATCAGAGCCATTTTTCGTCTTAGTTATGTCCATTCTTCTTCCCTGGAGCTATGCATTGTCGCCAATTTTCAAGACGAGTTTGTTGCTCACCTAGTCGGTGCAACTTATGTCGAGTCGTGTTTCAACTATCTGCTGAGTTGCATTTCGACTATCTGATCTGTCTTCTCTATCGAGTCGTATTTCGATTATCTGATCTGTTTCTCTGCCGCGTCGTTTTCAATTTTTTGATCTATTTTTCTTTCTAGGATTTTTTTTCTCAATAATTTTCCAGATCCGCTATCTCTTTGGGATTGTCCGACTGATTTGTAAGAGATAGGTGGTGCACATTCTTTTGTCTCCAACTCAAAGCTCGACGTACTATTGAAGATCCATGCACGTTTCTACAACTTAGTGTTCAAACTCCAGCTACTCTCTCAAAACATATTGAGTTTGAGGGGCACTGTGAAAGGAAAATATATCTTACGTATTAGGTTAATATGGAAAGTATATATTATAATCAATATATATGGCAAGGTTTAGTAGAGTATATGTACTTTATGGTAAGTCTGGGTATGGTTTAGGTATATGTGATTTAATTTTTATAATTTCTCATATGTAATTTATCTATAAAAGACAAGCCTGTATATTCATACGATTGATGGATATTGAGTTTCTTCAGATAAACTTGAGACTCTTCACATGCTATTAAAGCCAAATTTATCTTAGTTATATCCATTCATTGTCCCTGAAGCATTTTCGTTGATTTTCAAGACGAGTCTGTTGCTGGTCGAGTCGTGTTTCGACTCTCTACTGAGTTGTATTTTGACTCTTGGATCTCTCTCTACCGAGTCATTTTCGACTCTCTGATCTATTTTTCTCTCTGGGATTGTCTGCATTTTCTGGCTTGTTGATCTACTGCTGCTCCGTCGTTGATTTCTGTGCTTGTTGATCAAGCAATCTAAGTATGCATCTGAAGATCCAACTGCTCGTTTCCACAATTAGTATTCAAACTTCAACCACCCACTCTCATAGCATGTTGAGTTTAAGGGAAAGTGTGAAAGGAAAATATATATTGCCTATTAGGTTAATATAGAAAGTGTATATAATAATCTGTATATTTGGGAAGGTTTACATTGTAATAAGTATATATAAGAAGGGTAAATACAATATCTTATATTTTATGGTGAGTTTGGGTATAGTATAGGATTTCTTTCTATTATTGTGAGATTTTACACATAATATTTGGGATTCAAAATCCATTTAAAGATGGTTTTGGAGAGAGGACATACTTAAAATAAATGAGTATGCGGACTCACAGAAAAACGTCATCCGTTAAAAAACTCTTGATTCCCCTTCATAGAGACTAGGGAGATGTGGAATCTGTGTAAAAAGGGGCCATCAATTATGCAATTATTGGAATAAATTCACTCCAATAAGCAACCTACTTTGACATTAAAGTGGGCCCCCTTCTTCGCAAGTCACCACAATACCTTGAAAACAACTCAATTGTTGTTTTTAGTGCGGCTGCCATAAATCCTCTCTCAAAATAGGAATAGGGCGAGGGCGAGGGCCAGGGCGAGGGCGAAATTGAATTGAAAGAAGAATCTGTATGGCCTCATCATCAAAGTGCCCGCCTTTGGGATTTGCAGGTGAATACTATACTACGAATTCGGGGAGTGAGGCGGGTTGTGTGAGGCACAGCAGTTTCTTCAATGACGAGACCGTCCTCAACCAAGCCGTGGGCTACTCTGTCATCTTAGGTTTTGGGGCTTTCTTCGCTGTCTTCACATCTTTCTTGGTACTCTCTCTCTCTCTCTTTTCTACGCTTTCGCTTTTTTCTCGATTGTTTGAAGGTAGGGCTGACCTACTCCCTATAGGTATGCCCTGGCCTGGCCTTAGCCTATCACGCTAGGCCAAGCCAGGGCAGCTCGAGAAAAAAAAAGAAAAATAAAGCCCTGCCCTCGAGTCGTACTTAGCCGGTCCTCACGCCACTCTATTGTACTTTTTCTCTTAGGCTCATACAACTTTCTCCCTCTATAAGTGAATTCAGTGTATTGCACTTTTTTTCTTAGCCTCATACAACTTTCTCCCTCTATAAGTGAATTCAGTGAGTTGGGGCTTCAGGGAAAAACATATCCACTTGTCGCCTCCCATCTTTCTCTCAAGGAAAAAAAGTTTATATAAGTATGCTACCTTATAATGTAGAACTATGGATGTCCCTCAAAATTCCATCAGAAAATATAGTTTTAATGTTGAAAAACCCTTTGATTGATCATCTCAACATCGAGATGTTTGATTATAAAAAATAAAAAGATTTTAATTCTAAAAAATAATGCATTTTACAACATATTATCTACACCGTCCATTTTCAAGATTTTCGTATGTTTATAGATCTACTTTATTTTAATCATTTTTTAAATTTAAAATTTTATAATTAAAAATAAAAATAAATTTTGAAATAATCTTAATAACATTTTACACCAAAATTATATATTATGATAAAATTTGAAGGGCACCGTACCTCTGTGCACCTACTTATGCGTACGTATGCCACTGCACCCCTCTCTCAAAGCCGATGCTTTTGGAGAATGGACCATAGAGCTTGAGTTCATATTGGAAAGCTTCATACTGAATGGTAGCTTACCTGTGATTGGCGCATCAGGACCGTCCATTTTCATGGATAGTCCAATCAAGCTATGCATGGGACGTGAGGCCCACATGACATACACACCTTTTGACGACTTGTACATAAACTAGAATATTCAGTTTTGTGTTTGGACTTTAGTGCCCTTTAGGGCTGGTAATAAAAAGGGTAGAAGAAAAATTAAAGAAAATTTGGGCAGGTCTAGGGCTGGTGCCATTATGGCCCTAGCCCTGACCCGTGATGCCTTTATCGGACCACATTTCATAGCTCAAGCCCTAATTTTTTAAGGTCGGGCCCCTGCCACCAGCCTATTACCTCCCTTACTCTCGGTTTACGATATGATGATTAACGCGTGGTAGCTTACTAGGGTCCTCGCGTAGATTGCTCTATAATAAATAAAGGACTTGGTTTCTATGCGGCTGAGCCCGCATAGGTAGAAATGCTGGCCTCTTAATGAATCTATTTTTGAGATGGATTGTAAGACTTAAATTTTAAAGACGTGTAATCTCTAACATGGAGATCATGAATATGAATAAATAAATAAATTTTAAAAACTAAAAATAACAATTCTAGCAAGAAAACATTGGATAGTTAGTTTCCATAGTTTTTAGATGGAACACCTACTTGCATCCATCTTTAAGATGGATGCTTTACACTTTTCTAGACCGTACATGTAGAAATGTGATCTAGCTCGCATGAAACAATTTTACACAAGTAAAAAGGAAAAGTTTATATAAAGCAGATGCTCTAAACAAGCAAATTAGAGCCCACGTCAAAATCTCACTCAAAGAGGTTGTTTTGATGCCCGAATATCATCAAATTGATCATCTTGACATCAAGATGCATGGACATGAGAAAAAATGGATTTCAAATTTTGAAAATAGTGCATCTTGTAACACATTTTTTGACCGTCAATTTTCAAGATTTTCAAGTTCTCATAGATCTACACTAAGTTTGAAGGTTTAAATTTTATATTTAAAGATGAAAATATATTTTAAGGCTATCACAAAGATTTTCAGTTTTGAAACCACATTTCTCGATACTATTTGAAGGTGAGCTCTAATTGGATTGTTTAGAGCCTCGGCTCTATACAAACTGCATCCTAAACATAAACTACCATTTCGTAATTAATGATTTGATACAAAAGCGAGAGTATTTCTTTCACCTCTGTATTCCATTTTTTACATTATGGTGTTGGTATCCTTTCAAGGGAAAGGAGAAGAGGGCCATTATTATTTCACTGAAAATGAGTGCAGATAAAGTATAAATTAACCTCCTTTTTTTTAACCAATGACACTTTTATTCCGTCAGTTTCTAAGTGGAAATTTACATAAATATCATATATGCTTTGGAAATTTAAAAAATATCATCGTTATTTTGTATTTTACGTTCATGTCTCATTTTTTAAGAACATATTTTAATATTTCAGTTTTATACTTTTTATATACATCAGATTGTTCTCAAACTTTGTTCTCAAACTTTGTGTGTCCATACTCCTACCGTCACAAATCTATAAAAAATACTATAAAAATAATTAAATAAAAATAAAATGACCAAAATTTTTATATAATTTATTGGGGTATTTTGTTTATTCTTATTTCATATTTTTAAAATAGTTTTATTTTATAATTTTTCAGGTGCAAAATAATGAAACGTACGGATTTCTAAAATTTGAGCTTAACTCGATGTATAAAAGATATTAAAATTAAAATATGAAACATGCTCCAAAAAAGTGGGACATGAACGTACAATAAAAAATATTTAAGACAATTTTTAAAAGAAAAGTATACAAAGAGACCATGTACTTTTAAAAGAGGTCACAAATCATTCATGTACGTTAGGTTTCAAATTAAGTGGTTGTGAGTGTGTCATTGACCAGACTCAAAATTCAAAAAAAAAAAACTTCACCAACTTTGACACCTCAAGCCATCTAATTTGACAATTTGAGTAGCAATTGTGACTTCCATGTAACAAAGATAAATGGTCTCACAGTATACAACTATTCTTAATTTTACAAATTATAAGAGATATTTACCAAAATTTCTCTTTTCTTAAAAATAATGGAAGTGTTCTATCCACAAGAAAATGCAGTTGAATGCTTGGTTTGACAATGCGTACAAAATGGTCCCATGACATTAGCAATTGTCTGGACTTTCATTCATTTTTGTATTGGTGCGGTTTATCCAGGGCCACAACTTAGAAATAAGGTTGCGATATTGTAGACTATCTATTTTAGTTGGACGGTATAAAGATGATATATTTTTTTAAGACCATATCAAAAAATAACACATCTTTTAAAATATTAAAATCGAGACTATCCAATTTAAACGGACAGTGTAAATTAGTGTAATACTAGTTTTACAAATAAGGTCGCAACCTTATATAAACTTCTTCATTTTTGCAATTATAGAAAAATGGATAATGTATGGCCCTTAAATAAAATGATAAGGCCAACATGATAGCAGATTTTAATCCTATGGTTTTTCCCATAATAAAGTTGCTAGAAAACCAAAAAAGGCCCCTTCGGGAGGGAAATCAGTTCCTCGCCTACAGAATAAAGGCATTTATGTGATTTATATAATTCTTTATTCCTTTTTAATTATATATTCATAGAACTAACCCCTATTTAATCCTTCAAAATCCAGGAAAATTCAGGTTTTCATTATTTATTAATTTTCTTATTGCTGGGTATGTGTGTTTAGTACATTGGTAGCATTTGAAAGTTGGTACGTACTGTTCAATTCTCAACACCTTAACCAGTTAACCAAATAAAAACCTGATTTGCATAATAAAAAATATTTTTTGAGTATGGCTTCTCTATATGGAGGAGAGCAACATAGATGCAAACTGAAGTAATCTTCATTTGTGATGATGGCTGGGTTTCCTCATGCCCTTTAATGTTTCCATATACATAAGATTTTTTGCAAATTTTTAATGTTTCAAATTAATAAATTTCTGGGTTTTGTGCTTTATGCCAATAGGTGATAATTGAAGATGGTTGAGCTTTTCGACTGTAATTTTAAATTTAAACCCTTTAAATAAATTGAAATTTCTTGTGCTTCTCCTTTTTTGTTTCTCTCTTTTTTTCGTTTTTTTTTGGCAAGGTTAATAGAGATTTTGTTTCATCAATACAAAGTTACAATCAATTTGGTAATAGTTACAGAGATTGTAACCATAACCAGTACAAAGAATAAGAACAAAATCAGCCCACAATAACAAATCTCTCCCTCTCAACCATATACATGAATTACATATCTCTAAAAACCAGAATCAACATCAAGAAATCAGCAACCTCTGACTATTTGCTCCTCCTTTAGCCAACTTATCAGCAACAGTGTTCTCTCTCTCTCTCTCTCTCTCTCTCTCTCTCTCTCTGTTTTTTTGTTAATATATTGTTATTCAGTTTTTCTTTCTACATGCGCAGCAACCATGGTTTAAATTTGTTTTAGATAATTGGTCCGTTGATGTGCATTTTCTTGTTGAGTTCATGGAGAACACTGAACTGTGATGTCTAAGATGCAGTTTGGAAATATGTGCTTTGTCGATAATCTTCAAATCCATTTTCTTGATTGAATGCATATGTTTTGATGGTTATTCCCAACTAATGGTAACATTGGTTGGGGTTAAAAATTGAAATTTTGATGTTTTAAGTTTTGTACAATCTAGAGATAAATGCTCACTGATAGAAAGAACTCAAAAACACAACCAAAGACAAATTTAATTCAAGGTTTTTTTTTTCAGCCTTTTCAAATTCTTTTGCATTTTTCTAATTGGTATTTGAAAAATTAGTGTCAAATTTTCCTTTGCTAGTTGCATAATTGAGCATAAGTGTTATTTATGTACCAGGTATGGCTAGAAAAGCGTTATGTTGGATCCAGTCACACATCCGAATGGTTCAACACAGCTGGCAGAAATGTTAAAACAGGGCTCATTGCTAGTGTCATTGTATCACAGGTAACAAAGATGAACAAGTGATTTTAATGTCAATGTTAGACTCACATACCTTCCCGGCCCCCCTCAAAAAAAAAAAAAAAAAACAGTCGGCATTCTCGTCATGGAAACCTATGTGTTCATATAATTTTTTGGGTTTCCAAGAATTATTTTCATATGACGAACTTTGATTGAGTTCTTTTGCTGTTTCATGACATTGTTATGAACAGTGGACTTGGGCTGCAACAATCTTGCAAAGTTCCAACGTTGCTTGGGAATATGGTGTTAGTGGGCCTTTTTGGTATGCTAGTGGTGCCACAATCCAGGTAGCTTTCTTATTGTTACATGTTTATTCTGAGAAATGCAATTTTACCTTTGGAACTTAGTGTTGAGAAACTGCATTGTAGTGCTTGATTTGAATATATATATATATATAAATAAAAAGGGTGTGGGTTCCATAAGGTTGCATCTTCAAGTTTTATCATAATAAATAATTTTGATGTAAAATATTA